TAGATGGCCTCCAGGGAGGCATAACACGGCCCGCGTTGACTAGTATGACCCCCAATGCGCCTTCAGGAGGCCCACTTACGGCCCCGAGACAGCTCCAAATTGCCAGGAGGCCTCCCAAGCACGTTCCGATAAGCCAGCAACCCAGTCAAAACTTGCGGATTGGCAGTGATGTTTGTCAACTCGCCGTTTCAATCATGATGTGTCTCTGGTGCCCAAAGATGGTTCCAATTACGCCCAAGAGAGCCTCACGAGTGACCCAGAAAGCCTCCAGTAGCGCCGCAGCAACATTCCAAGAAGGCCTCCAGAAGCGGCGTCGTGACCCGGAGGGGCAGCGACAATCGGCGCCTCTGATCATGTGATAGATTCGATGCCCTCCACCGTGCCCCACATAGGGTTCCCAGGGCCCCTAAGAGGAGCCCAAGAGATTCCGAGATACACTCAGACTTGCCCCAGCCGCGCCGAAGATCACCCCAACAGGTCTTCAAAGGGCTCGCATATCGAAAGATCCGAGACGGTCTTTATGGTTGACTCCTGGGTCTGCTCAGGCGGATCCCGAGCTTCGTGAAGGGGCCCTGGGACACACAAATAAATACACACAAATAAGAGAATCCCCACTGGTTTCCCATATGTTCGGGGTTTCTGTCTTCCCCCACACTTCCCACATTTTCCCATATTTTCTGGGGAATCGAGGATTAATTGTGTCTGTGTGTTTTTTCCCCTCCCGACTTCGGGTTGACGGTTGCCCCCGCTTTTCGTCCCTCGTCATGCTCCTGCGCTTCCCCGCAGGGCAGAACTCGCCTGGGGATCGCTTCTGGATCGGCTGGCGGGGATACTTTTTTTGGTCGCGGGCGGACGCGGATTCGCAGTCGCCGAACAGAGAGGTCGGGCCTGTCAAATTAGCCACGCGCAAGCCTAAACGCACAGCGGCCGAGCCCGCACTCAGAACCTACCGCCAGTGAGGCCGCGGGCAGAAGGGGAGCTGGCTGAGCTGACTGCAAACCGGCTGGCGGTGACACGCGAAGCCCCAACAATGCAATGCAGATTCAGGGGACGAGAAGGGGGAGGGATGTGGAGGAGGCGGCGGGAGGGAGAAGAGGGGTGATGAGAGGAAAACGGGTGAGGAAAACGAGGGAGGAGGAGGAGGAGGAGGAGGCTGAGCAAACATGAGGGTCGGGAGAGAGGACGGACAAAGGGGGGTGGGATAACGCCGGCGGAGACTCCAGGAGGCTCTAAGGACGCCCCAGGAGGCAAGGCGCCCCAAAGGCGCCCCATGAGACTCCAGGACGTCCTGTGAGGAAGCCTCGGGATCGTGCTAGAGCGCGCAGCTGCGGGACAAATCCCAGAACCCATGCCAGAGTATGTCATAACATGCATGCCAGTGCATGGTTCAGGTTCGGGGATGCATCAAGCCACCGAGGAGAAGGATCCCCAGGGAAGGGGAATGTACTCGCGAATGCAGAACAATAGCGAAACAGGTAGCACTACAGCACAAACACATGACATGACTAGGGCATCGAAACCTTGACATCTAGAAGTCTGCGTCTAGGCTTTCTGAAGCAAATAACGGACGTAGGGCGATTCCTGCTCAAGACGGAGCTCTCCGCTGTGTGGAAGGACCACGGGAGCTCGTCGTGCAAGGGAACGCTCGCCGCAGTGGATTTTGCGACAACGTTCGAGGACGACTCGGGGACGGGATGGTGCGGTGCAGCATCGTTGGCGCATCCTGGTTTGCCCTCCTCCTCCTCCTCCTCGCCCCCCTCATCCTCCTCTTCCCCCTTTCCTCCTCCTCCTCCTCCTCTTCCTCCTCTTCCCTGCAATTCTCTCTGCTGCTCAACATCCGTCGGTGGGGCGCGCCCCGAAGTTGTTGCAGAGCACCACGAGGTCGACCAACAGCCCAAGCCAACGGCCATACAAAGCCTGCGCTCCGGGGGGGCTGGGGGAGACCTCCGGGCAGGAAAGCCTGCGCACTGCCCGACAGGCGGCGTGGGGCAGTTCGTCGCGCGGTCCACAGTACAGGGCAGTTTTTAAGACATGGGATCTGTAAAAATATAAGACGTGTAATACATGACTAATTCATGAACGGATGTGTGCATGAACTCATCGTTGTCTTTCATACGAAATCCCTGAATGTGTAATACATGATCCGCACGCGGAGCATGTATTAAAAACGGCACTGTACCAAGAACGCACATTCCCAACCATTGCGCCTCTGAAGACCAGGGCTGGACCTAAACGTTGTTTTCACTCCGTTCTGTGTCCTGTGCCTGTGCCTCCCTGGCAAAACGAAAAACAAAGCACAGCCGAAACCCAGCAAAACAGCGTTTAGGTCCAGCCGTGCTGCTGACTTGGCACTGACCTGCCTCAGACAAGGCCTTTCTCTGAACCAACGCACTCGACAGCCATTGCCGCTCTGGCGGCGCGCGGCGCGGCCGCGCTGGGATATTCACACTGGCTGATCAACAGGCGCGATCTGCAGTTACACTGTAGGCGAGAACCCATGCCAAGAAACACCCTGCTTGCCTCCAGGATGCCCAGGGTTTCTTTGGTTTCGATGGTTTTGCGATGTAAAGCGTGACGTTCCCACACCAAAAACCAATGGACGCCCTGGGGTCTCAGGGTTGGGCTTCTTTTGGCAAGTTTCGTGTACGTGCAATCGTGAGCGCGAAGCGCAGCCGCAATCGCCTGAGAGCGGCGCTCTCCAGTGGGATGCCTTCCAAAATTGCTCGGCGCGCCGCGCAACAAGCGAGTTGAAGCCCGCTGCGCACGCTAACCCCGGCGCAGCACAAATCGCTGAGGACGATCGAGGCACAAGTCCGAGCGGCGCTGACGGCACCGCCCCACTGCTGTCACCTCAGTGGCAAGTCCGTGCCTGGCCTCGCCAAGCCCCCGCGCGAGGGCATGGACACCCCACGGAGAGCCCGCGAACAGGGCGGTGGGCATGGCGCTGCTGCTGACGGGCTCGTCGCTGCCGCTCCGGCGCGGCTTAGCCGCCGGCGGGCCGCGTGGGCCATGGAAGCCGCGGGGGCACGCACGTCCCCCCCGAGAGACCGCGCGCCTGACGCGCCCGCCGCGGCGGCGCGGCGCTGCAGCCAGGGCGAACAGAGATCAGTTTCGCGTGGGCGGCCTGCAGACGTTGCCGCGGCGGGCGTTGCCACGGAAGGCGGCAGCGCGGCGGGCGGGGACGGCGCTGCCGCGGGCAGCCGCGGTGCGGGCGGCGTGCGCCGCGCCGCGGCGGGGCACCAGCGCGGGCCAGCGCTCGCGCGCGCGCAACGAGCTGCTCGGTCACTCGGAAAAGCGGCGCGCCTCCGCTGCGCGGTGGCGGGCCGCCTGCAACAGCCTGGGCGACGGCATCCGCAAAACGATGCGCCGGCCAGTCCACTGCCGTCACAAAACCACCGTCGGATAGCATAGCAAGACAAACGTTGCCTGGGTGCCGTGCGCCGGCATCCACGTGAGCTTGCCGGGCGCGACGAACCCCTGGCGTCGCCGTTCATCAGCGTGGACACGCGAGACCAGAGCTGCACAGATTACGCGTTTGGGTTTGGCAGCCTGCGTAGCGGATGGACTGGAGGTCGGTGAGGATGCGGAGCGGCACGAGGGCGATGGTGAAGACGAGCGACGCGGCCCAAAAGTCAACAGCAACCGACGTGCAAATCCGAGGAGGAGGAGCACCGCTGCCGCAGGCCACGCATTCCTCGCTATCAGACACGGCCACGATGCCGCACTCAGTGCGACTGATCTCCCAACGAGAGCCCAGTTGCCCTCGCCAATCATCTGTGCGATGGCAGTCGATATGCACTAATATGTGTATACAAATGTATGTATACATGTATAGATATATGTATATATGCATGTGTAGGCCTATACGAACACCTTTCGGGTGATAAGCAGGCTCGGGGTGGGGGAATAAACAACGTCTCACTCAATCGCTCTCACTTTCGGTCTAACTATCGATCTCAACATGGATCCCCTGTAGAACTCACGATCGATCCCGCTATCGATCTCACCTTGGATCTCATGATGAATCTCAATATCCCCCTCACGTTCGATCTCACTAACGATCTCACTATCGACCTCACAATCGATCTCACTATCGATCTCCCTATCGATCACCCTATTGATCTCACTATCGACCTCACGGGACACCACGGGGCACCAGGGGACACCGCGCCATAGGACACCACGAGCCATTGTGGGACACCACGGGACACCACGGGATACCATCGGGGCACCATGGCGGGACACACCAGGCCACCGCTGGACAACAAGGGGGGCGCGGTGGTTTGGCTCGGCGGCGTCCTAGCCAGAGGAGAGTTCATTCCTCTGGCCCGCCCACGCAGCTTCGCCTCGCCCACACGCACGACACGAACATCAAACCGAAACCGACTTCCCGGTGGGGGGGCTCTCCGTTTCACTGCATGTACGCCAACGTGAACCAGAAACAGTGAGTAATTGCGTGGTGAAAAATATGCGGCGTAAGTTATATTGAATAATGCTGTGGCGTGTGAGCTATGTGGTGTGAGAACTGGTAGCGGAAACTACACGGTGTCATAGGTGTGTCGACTATATCGTGTAACCGTTGTGGCGTGAGCTGGAGGTGAAAGCTATGGGGTGTAAGCGATGTGGTGTCAGCCTGGCGGGCCCATCCAGCGAATGGTCGCCCACGAAGGCCCGCGAGGTGGCAGGGGGCAACAACATGGAACAACAACTGCGGACTCGTTCAAATATTCTACAAAGCAAAGTAAGAACCCCATAGGTGCAAACACTGGTAGACGTACATAAATGTATATGTGCAGGTGCACGTGTATGACCGTACATGTATGTGAATATCGGCGTAGACATGTATGTGTGTACACACATGCATGCGCATACATATGGACATCTAGATATATGTACGTGCATGTATAAGTATATAATGATAGTATGATGTCTACATATGTGCATCTATCCGTATGTACTATCTATCTATGATTATATATATATATATAGATACAGATGCACAGACATGTAGCACACACACATCACACATCAACATCCCGTGCCGACATGACACCAGGGAGAGGAGAGACGAGGAGCAGATGCACACAAGCTCTGCGTACTGACAAGAGCGGGGCTCTGACGGCCCCAAGTCGGGGGATCATCAGCAGGGGCAGCCTCCGCCCTCACGAATCCCTCCTCCAAAGGTCTCCAGGGTCTGCAGATGCAGAGGACCTGGGGGGTCTCCTCCCGCGAGGTCCTCCGCGAGTTCTCCAGAGGCTTCCGGAGGCCTCGAGAGGCTGCCGGAGACACGACGAGGGCAGACACATCCAAGATCTCGAGGACCCATCATCCCCCCTCCTCCTCTCTCTTCCTCCTCCTCCTCCTCTTCCCCCTCCTGATCTCCTCTCCGTTCTCCTCTCGCTCGTGGTGCAAGAGCGACTGCCCGTCACCCATTCCGCTTTGAGTTCTGGGCTGCACGGTCAAGCGTGCGGTGGATGCGTCAGGCGGATTGCATCGAGCACAGGCGTGTTCTCGTCACCACGGCTGGACGCGTCACAGACATCCGCCAAGAGTGGACACCAGGAGGGGTCCGGTGGCCGGGTTTTGACGGATTTCGGTAGGGCACTGCACTGGATCGGTGCAGGTGGGGTGTACCGAGCACAGGCACAGTGAAGGAGAGCTGGCATACAGACCGACACGGGAACATTGCAGGATGCGTTGTAAGGGTGCGGGGCCCTGGGAGTCCATGCTGAAAAAACTGCAGAAGCGCAATGGCAACATGTCTAGAATGCAAGGAACGGGATGGACTGGACAAGCACGGATGCACGGGCAGCCGCGCTGAAGCTATCCATACTCACTACCGTGGCTGGCTGTACAAACAAACTACATGCTTCTGATCATGCTGAATGACGCTTGCCACTTTTCTCGTCGCTGCGTTTAGCTACTGACGCACAGGCCTCTCCCACCATGGCGTACGAGCTATGGCGCACGAAGTCCACGCTGACCTCAGCGTCGAATCCGAATCCGATCAGGACCATCGGCTCGTGGCCCGTTTCTCTCACCAGGGTCACCCTGGGACAGGACCCCTTCTGGTGTTTGTGGGACTCCCCCCCACATGTTTGCAGACACCCCCTGCATTTTACGGAACTCCCCCGACGCTTGCGGACCTCCCCCCCTCGGTTCGTAGACCCCTTCTGGGTCTCCGGAACTCTGGACCCCGATCTACACATTTCTCCCTCTCCACAACGAAGACCGGCGCGCAGCTTGCTCTGCGCCGTGAGACCGCAGACCGCTGGACAGCCTGGGAGCGTCACACGAGAGGCCGCCAGGACGAGGCAACGGAGGAGGAGGAGGAGGAGGAGGGGGGGGGAGAGGGCACAGCAGTACGCTGGCAAGCTGGGCAGCGCAATCGTGAAACCACTACGTCACATGTCTTGCACATGAGTGCACATGGGCGCGCTGCATCTCTGTTCCCCACGATCCAGATTGCTGCCAGGCTCAGGGCCAACCGATACTGGCACAATTACTACGAACAGTGAGAACTAATAAACAATCGCGCCTGTAATTCTCGCGATGGAAGAGGACTTTGTGGGCGGCACTCGTGCGATATGCGGGAGCAGCGCCGCGCAACGACTGCACTCGCTGCAACGCTGGGATCGACAAGGAATGATGCGGAGATGTACGCGGGCGGAGCCGAAGGTGTAGGACACTTGCAGGTCCGACGAGTAACGAGAGTCAAGCTAAGGAGATTGGGTCGCGGCACAGCACGTAAAGCCTGGTCAGCACGGTGATCCAGGCTTCTCTGGTATCATGGCGCATGTTAGCCCCTCGGTGGACCACTCAGATCCCCGTGGGATCATCGCAACTTCTCCGGAGCCTGTTGGCGGCGTCTTCCCTCCAGGCATATAGGATCCTGTGGAGCATTGTGGGAGACCTCGGAAAGGGGCTGGAGGCTCCGAGCGCCGGGCGAAGGGGTCGACGGATGGCTGGAGAGAATACCTCAAGCTCGGGAAGGTGGCTGAAGACGGGCACGAGGACAGAGGCATCGGGGAGGGGAAGGAAGGAGCAAGATAGGGGGCCAGATGCGAACCCTACCCCTACCCCCCACGATTTCTGAGGGGGAGGGTGGGGTTCACTCCCCACGAAGTGAACCCCACCCTCCCCCTCAGAAATCGTGGGGAGGAGGGGTAGTGTTCGCCTGTGGCCCCCCTACAAGAGAGCTGGACGGCGGACCACCAGAGTCGCGGGGCGCCATCTTGGGGTTCTTGACGAGCCCTCTTAGGGGCGCCCTCGGGCTCCGGGGGGGAGGGTCCCTTGGGGCCCCTTCGGGCCCTCGGGGGACCATCTCGGAGTCCCTGGCGGCCTCGTGGAGCCCTCTCAGGGAAAGTCTTGGAGCGCCTCGGATCTTGGGACCATCCTGCGGCGGCCCTGGGCTTGCTTGGAGCCACACTGGTGCCGCCTTTGGATCGGTTTGGCGCTTTCTCAGGTCGTCTTGCGCCCTCGCTGGGGCCAACGCGGGCCGAGAAGCTTTGGGGCCTTTTCTTCAAGCCATCGGTGGCTGAAGCGTAAAAGTTATTTGGGCGAAAGACCTAAGCATATGCAGGTGCGAGTGCCGCAAGGCAGGTCGGGGTGGGGAAGGAGACACGCGAGCAGTGCTCTTTTCATTATCCGGACGAAAGACCCAATCATCTGCAGGCGCGAGTGCTGCAAGGCTGGCGGGACGAAGAAGCGGCAGGTCCCGATGGGGAAATGACACGCGTGAGAGGTGTGCCGAAATGGGTGAGGGGCCGCCATGCGGAGCCTGCAACTGGGGCCTTCGGTGGAACTCCAGGGCCACAAAAAGTGTAGGGGTGCAGGGCCGCCAGCTGGACCCTGCCGCTGGGGCCTCCGGTGGAGCTCCCTGGAGCTCCCTATGTGCCCGCAAAGCTTGAGAAGGTTGTGCCAAAATTGGCGCGGAGCCGCAAAGCGGACCCTGCCGCTGGCACCTTCAGTGGAGCTCCTTCTGTGGCCACGACGCGTGTGAAGGGTGTGCCGAAATTGATGCCTTGCCGCCATGTGGGCCCTGCCGCTGGGGCCTTCGGTGGAGCACCCTATGGGGCCGCGAAACGACTGAGGGGTGTGCTGAATTCGGTGCGGGGCCGCCATGCGGACCCTGCCTCTGGCACGCTGTGGAGCTGATGCGACACACGGGCTGCCCCGCTCGTCAAGTTCGTGCTGCCCACCTCTCTTTCCCTCAGAGGGCGTTGCAGCACGCGAGCGGGAGCTGGCTGTCAGAAGCTGGAGGGGCTGCCGAAGGCATTCGTCTGATCTCCACTGTTCCTCTGCTCGCGCACCGCATGTTGCAAGGCCCTGCCTTCCTTCCTCAAATTCTTTCAATCAAATCGCAACGGCGTAGGTCTTCCTCTGAAGAGGAGGGTGGAGGAACAGGATCAGGAGACCCAAATCACAGCACGCACCGCCATTAGAACCTGACTTGGCCTACTCACTTCGTCCTGCTTTCATTGCCAATCGTCATTAGCAGGATGTGCCCGGCTGTTGCATGTCGCTTCACTCTCGCTGGCAGTGCGCTCTCAGACGCAACGGGCTCGGGCAAAGTCGGCTCGGCAGTCGCGATTGCGGGCAGGGCGGCGGGAACTGGCGGGGGAATACCCAGCTGGGCCTGACGGGGCTGAATGGAGCCGGAGCGGCCGCGCCGTGGGACAGAGAACGTGGCAAAGAGACGTGCAGCAAGACGCGAGCTGAACAGTGTTTTCTGCTGTCGCGTTGTTCAAAACCATCCTGTGGTGTTGGTTTCTCGTGTTGAAGGGACAGCGCTCCGCGTCACTGCTCCTTCCTCCTCCCCCTCCTCCCTCCTCTCACCCATCCCTGCCTCTGCCCTCCGCATGTCTATGTCGGCACACCCCTCACACGCTTCGTCGCCCGACAGGAAGCTGCAACGAAGGCCCCAGCGCCAAAATTCGCGTGCGGTTCCTCTCACATTTCGGGACACCCGTCACATGTGCCGTGGCCCCCTAGGGAGCTCCACCGAAGTCCCCATTGGCAAAGATCGAATGCGGTTTCCAGTCCATTTCGGCACACCCCTCGAACGTTTCGCGGCCCCATAAGGAGTGCCAACGAAGGCCCCACTGACAAAGTTCGAATGCGGTTCCCCGCCCGATTTGGCACACCCCTCACACCTTACTTGGCACCATCGGGAGCTCCACCGTGTGCCTCAGTGGCAGGGTTCGCATACGGTTTTTTGCACCACGGTTCGTGGCCCCATGGGGGGCTCCACCGAAGGCCCCAGCAGCAAAATTCGCATGCGGTTCCCCACGCATTTCGGCGCACCTCTCACACGTTCCGTGGCCCCCTGGGGAGCTCCACCGAAGGCCCCAGCAGCAAAATTCGCATGCGGTTCCCCGCACATTTCGGCGCACCCCTCACACGTTCCGTGGCCCCCTGGGGAGCTCCAACGAAGGCCCCAGTGGCTCAAACCGCATGCGGTTCCCCGACCACTTCGGCGCACCCCTCACACTCTTCGTGGCCCCATCGGGAGCTCCACCGAAGGCCGCAGTGGCAAAGTTCACATGCGGTTCCCAGCCGGTTTCGGCACACCCCGCACGCGCTTCGTGGCCCCGTGGGGAGCTCCACCGCAAGCCCCAGTGGCAATGTTGGACATCCGGTTCCACGCCCATTTGGGCACACCCCTCACACGTGCTGTGGCCCCATAAGGAGCTTGAGAAGGTTGTGCCAAAATTGGCGCGGAGCCGCAGAGCGGACCCTGCCGCTGGCACCTTCAGTGGAGCTCCTTCTGTGGCCACGACGCGTGTGAAGGGTGTGCCGAAATTGATGCCTTGCCGCCATGTGGGCCCTGCCGCTGGGGCCTTCGGTGGAGCTCCCTATGGGGCCGCGAAACGTGTGAGGGGTGTGCTGAATTCGGTGCGGGGCCGCCATGCGGGCCCTGCCTCTGGGGCCTTCGGCGGAGAACGCTTGAGGAGTGTGCCGAAATGGGTGCGGGGTCGCACCGTGGAACCTGCCACTGGAGCCTCCGGTGGAGCTCCTTGTGTGGGCACGAAGAATGTGAAAGGTGTGCTGAATCTGGTGAGGGGCCGCCATGCGGCCCCTTTCGCAAGTGCAGTCGATGGAGCTCCTGATGGTGCCTCGAAGCGTGTGAGGGGTGTGCCGAAATGAGAGCGGGACCGCCGTGCGGACAAGGCCGCTGGGGCCTTCGGTGGAGCCCCCATATGGGGCCACGGAGCGTGTGCGGGGTGTGCCGTATCTGGTGCGGGGCCGCCATGTGGACCCTGCCGCTGGGGCCTTCAGTCAGTGGAGCTCCATATGGAGCCGCGTCGCGTGTGAGCGTTGGGACGAAATCGGTGCGGGGCCGCCATGCGGACCCTGCCGCTGGAACCATCGGTGGAGCTCCCCAGGGGGCCACGAAACGTGTGAGGGGTGTGCTGAAATCGGTGCGGGGCCGCCATGCGGACCCTGCCGCCGAGGCCTTCCGTGGAGCTCTCTATGGGGCCACGAAACATGTGAGCGGTGTGGCGAACCAGATGCGGGGCCGCCATGCGGACCCTGCTGCTGGGGACTTCCGTGGAGCTATCTTGGGGCTCCGAAACGGGGCGGCACCGCCATTCGGACCCTGCCGCTGGGGCCTTCGGTGCAGCTCCATCTGGGGCCACACAGCGTGTGAGATGTGCGCCGAAGTGGGGTGCGGAGGTGAGAGGAGGGAGGAGGTGCGGGTGGGAAGGAGACGCGGGGCGCTGTCTCTTCAGAACGGGGGCCCAACACAACAGGATGGCTGGGGAAAACGACAACCCGACCCCCCCCCACACACACACACACACACACACACACACACACACACACACACACACACACACACACACACACACACACACACACACACACACACACACACACACACACACACACACACACACACACACGCACACGCACGCACGCACGCACGCACGCACGCACGCACGCACGCACGCACGCACGCACGCACACACACACACACACACACACACACACACACACACACACACACACACACACACACACACACACACACGCGCAGGGGGATCGGGAGAGCCAGGCGAGCAGGAAGCAGCCGAGGGGATGGGGAGGACAAGATCCCTTCCAGGGCGGTCTGTCGCGAGCCAGTGCGGAGGGGCGGAGCCCATCCCTGGCCCGAGGACGTACCACCGCACAGCGAAAGGGTGCGGAGGTTACGTTCCCCGCACGGTGCTGCAGAGGCACGCTGTGGAGCTGATGCTACACACGCCCGCGTGGGCTGCCCCGCTCGTCAAGTTCGTGCTGCCCATCTCTCTTTCCCTCAGAGGGCGATGCAGCACGCGAGCGGGAGCTGGCTGTCAGAAGCTGGAGGGGCTGCCCAAGGCATTCGTCTGATCTCCACTGTTCCTCTGCTCGCGCACCGCATGTTGCAAGGCCCTGCCTTCCTTCCTCAAATTCTTTCAATCAAATCGCAACGGCGTAGGTCTTCCACTGAAGAGGAGGGTGGAGGAACAGGATCAGGAGACCCCGAATCGCAGCACGCACCGCCATTAGAACCTGACTTGGGCTACTCACTTCGTCCTGCTTTCATTGCCAATCGTCATTAGCACGCTGTGCCCGGCTGTTGCATGTCGCTTCACTCTCGCTGGCAGTGAGCTCTCAGACGCAACGGGCTCGGGCAAAGTCGGCTCGGAAGTCACGATTGCGGGCAGGGAGGCGGGAACTGGCGGGGGAATACCCAGCTGGGCCTTACGGGGCTGGGAATACCCAGCTGGGCCTTACGGGGCTGAATGGAGCCGGAGCGGCCGCGCCGTGAGGCAGAGAACGTGTTGGATTCTCGTTTTGAAGGGACAGCGCCCCGCGTCACTGCTCCTTCCTCCTCCCCCTCCTCCCTCCTCCCACCCATCCCTGCCTCTGCCCTCCGCATGTCCATGTCGGCACACCCCTCACACGCTTCGTCGCCCCACAGGAAGCTCCAACGAAGGCCCCTGCGGCAAAGTTCGCGTGCGGTTCCTCTCACATTTCGGGACACCCGTCACATGTGCCGTGGCCCCCTAGGGAGCTCCACCAAAGTCCCCATTGGCAAAGATCGAATGCGGTTTCCAGTCCATTTCGGCGCACCCCTCGAACGTTTCGCGGCCCCATAAGGAGTGCCAACGAAGGCCCCACTGACAAAATTCGAATGCGGTTCCCCGCCCGATACGGCACACCAATCACACCTTACGTGGCACCATAGGGAGCTCCACCGTGTGCTCCGTGGCCCCCTGGGGAGCTCCAACGAAGGTCCCAGTGGCCCAAACCGCATGCGGTTCCCCGACCACTTCGGCGCACCCCTCACACTCTTCGTGGCCCCATCGGGAGCTCCACCGACGGCCGCAGTGGCAAAGTTCATATGCGGTTCCCTGCCGGTTTCGGCACACCCGGCACGCGCTTCGTGGCCCCGTGGGGAGCTCCACCGCAAGCCCCAGTGGCAAGGTTGGACATCTGGTTCCACGCCCATTTGGGCACACCCCTCACACGTGCTGTGGCCCCATAAGGAGCTCCACATAAGGCCCCACTGGCAATACTCGCGTGCGGTTCCCCGCCAATCTCGGCACACCCGTCACACGCTTCGATGCCCCACAGAGAGCTCCACCGAATACCCCAGCGGCACAAGTCGCATGCGACTCACCGCCCATTTCCGCAAACCCCTGACACGCTCCGTGGCCCCATAGGGAGCTGCACCGAAAGCACCCAATGACAAAAATTGCATGAAGTCCCAACCCCATTTCGGCACACCCGTCACACGTGCCGTGGCCACATTGGAAGCTCCACCGAAAGCCCCAATGGCAAATGTCAATTCCCCGCCCTTTTCGGCACACCCGTCACACCTGCCGTGTCCCCGTGGGGAGCTCCACCGCAAGCCCCAGCGGCAAAATTCGAATGGGATTTCCAGCCCATTTTGGTACAAACCTCAAACGTTTCGCGGCCCCATAAGGAGTTCCAACCAAGGCCCCACTGGCAAAGTGCGAATGCAGTTCCCCGCCCGATTCGGCACACCTCTCACACGTTCCGTGGCACCAAAGGAAGCTCCACCGTGCCTCAGTGGCAAGGTTCGCATGTGGTTTCGCGCCCATTTTGGCACACTCCTCACACGTTTCGTGGCCCCATAGGGCTCTGCACCGAAAGCGGTGACACAACTGCTGCAACACGATGTCAAAACGAAAAGGGTCAACGGAATCGCCAAAACACCGTTTACCTCGCGCCCTGACGCGTACAGCCTGGCCGCATGGGACCGGAGCAGAGGGAGTCGGAGGACGGTACCGAATCGACAACGATGCATCGGCGCCGTTGGGATGGACAAGATCTGGCTCCCGATCGAGCCGATTGGACGACGAATCGGCGATGCGACGCGGCTCATGGCATGGAATCGCAAGCCACTCCTCTGAGAGGAGGAGGAGGAGGAGGAGGAGGAGGAGGAGGAGGAGGAGGAGGAGGAGGAGGAGGAGGAGGGGGAGGAGGACAAGCTAGGTGCGCTCGCGTCATATCTGACGTCCTACCCCTCCCTCCCATCCCTTACCATGGCGCTGATTTTCTCTATCCGCGGACGCGTGTCGTAGCGGACCTGTGGCTCCGCGCGCGCGTGCGTAGTGGGTGGTGGTGCACGTGCGTGCGTGCGTGCGTGTGTGTGCGTGGTTGTCGTGGTGGTGGTGGTGGGTGGTGTGGTGGTGGTGGTGGTGGTGGTGGTGGTGGTGGTGGTGGTGGTGGTGGGTGGTGGTGGTGGTGGTGGTGGTGGTGGTGATGGTGGTGGTGGTGGTGGTGGTGGTGGTGGGTGGTGGTGGTGTTGGTACTGGTGCTGGTGCTGGTGGTGGTGGTGGTGGTGGTGGTGGTGGTGGTGGTGGTGGTGGTGGCGGTGCGGCGCGGTGGTGGCGGGCGGATGGGCGCGCGAGAAAAAGGCCCGCGCTGGGGCGAGAACGCCATCCTGAACGACGGAGGCCAAACACCGATCCGAAAATGAGGCCGGAGGAGGAGGAGGAGGAGGAGGAGGAGGAGGAGGAGGAGGAGGAGGGGGAGGGGGAGGAGGCATGGATTCTGGCCGTCGATTAGCACAGCAGCTCGGGGCGGACCAGCAGCATCCAGGCGGTCAGATCGGTCATCGCGGCCGTGGCCAGCAGCAGCACGGCTCCCAGGGCGATGCCGCTCTGCCGCGCCGCGAAAGGCAGCCCCAGCACCTCGGTCATGGAGGGAGATCTGAATGAGGATGGCGCGAAGGGAAAAGAGGAAGGAGATAGGAGAACAAGGATCCGAACAAAGATGAGGCAGAGGAACAGCAGCATTAACAAAACCAACAAACACATACACAGCAACTACAAAGGCAATTACACATTACACCACCTACAGCAACAATCAACTTAAGACTGCTCGCTCTTACTGGTACGCGTGTCTTGCACTATGTATAGCCCAACGCTCGATACCCGCCCACTTCGTCTTCGATTGCACCCCCTTTCGGGGGGAATCTCTTCCTTGTCGGCCACTGACTGAAGTGCGAGAAACTCTCGAGCGAGAGCGCCGCTCCTGAATTCGGGGCCTCTCTGGCCAGGGGCTCTCGGAATACAGATGGAGAAATATCAACGTGAGCCCTTGTCGCCGTGTCTGGGCCTCCACCAACTTGCAGCAATCACGAGAATGTCTCGAGCGATAGCGCCACTCCTGAGTTCGGGGCCCCTCTGGCAAAGGCCTCTGCGAATACATCTTGAAGACGTATCGAACGGGAGCCCTTGTTGTCGTAGCTGGGCCTCCACCAATTTGAATGAAGCATAAGAAAATCTCGATCGAAATCCCCGTTCCTGAGTTCGGGGGCCTTCCTGGCCAGGGGCTCTCGGAGTAAATCGTGAGAAAGTAACGAGCGGGAGCCCTTGTCGTCGTGGCTGGGCCTCCGCCAACTTGTCTGAATTGCGAGGACGTCTCGAGCAAAAACGCCGTTCCTGAGTTCGGGGGCCTCCCTGGCCAATGTCTCTCGGCGTAAACTGTGAGGAAGTATCGAGCGGGAGCCATTGTTGTCGTAGCTAGGCCTCCAAGGGCCCACATTTAGGGTCAAGCCAACGCTCGCGCGGGAGCCTCGCTTTCAACGAAAATGTAGCCGGCGTCGAGGCGAGAGCGCGCGGAACCGTTTCCGGATATCAACAATAATGAGTCTGTAGAAAGGAATGTCCAACAACCAAATTCAGACTGTTCGCTCTTATCTACTTGAGTGCCCGTTAACGCGTATTTCCCAAACCCTCGATACCCGCCGTCTTCGTCTTCGATCGTACCCCTTTTGGGGGGTATACCTTGGACCGTCGGCCTGGCCAGCGGCAGCGCTGATCGGCGGCAACACGACCCAAGAGGGACGGACAGGGGACCGACCACGACGACGACGACGACGACGACATCGACGGCGACGACGCCGACGACGACAACGACGACGACGAGCGAAAGCGAGAGCGAGAGAGAGAACGACAGCAGGGCCACAAAGGGAACGAAGTAGGCCACGAAGGGCGACAGCGGGGACACGAAGGGAATGCGAATGGGGCCACGAAGAGCACGAACAAGAGGGGGCCACGAATGGCAGGTAATGCGGGGCCACAGAAAGCAACGACGGGGCCAACGAGGGCAGCAACGGGGCCACGAAGGGCAGCGAGGGGGCCACGAAGGGCGACACCAGGGCCACGAAGGGCATGCACATGGGGCCACGACGGGCGCAAACGAGCGGGGGCCACGAAGGGCATGCGTATATTGAGCCGCGGAGGGCAAGGACGAGGCCACTGAGGGCAGCAACGGGGCCATGAAGGGCAGCGAGGGGGCCACGAAGGGCGACACCAGGGCCACGAAGGGCATGCACATGGGGCCACGACGGACGCGAACGAGCGGGGCCCACGAAGGGCATACATATATAGGGCAACGAAGGGCAGCGAGGGGACCACGAAGGGCTGCATCGTGGCAACGAAGGGAAGCGAGGGGGCCACGAAGGGCTGCAACGGGACGACGAAGGGCAGCGAGAGGGCCACGAAGGGCTGCAACGGGGCCACGACGGGCAGCGAGTGGGCCACGAGGGGCTGCAACGTGGCCACGAAAGGTAGCGAGGGGGCCACGAGGGGCTGCAACGGGGCCACGAAGGGCAGCGAGTGGGCCACGAAGGGCTGCAACGGGGCCACGAAGGGCATACATATATGGGGCCACGAAAGACAGCGAGGGGGCCACAGAGGGCGACAGCGGGGCCCCACGAAGGGCATGCACATTGGGCAACGACGGGCGCGAACGAGCGGGAACCACGAAGGGCTGCAACGGGGCCAGAAAGGGCAGCGAGGGGGCCACGAAGGGCTGCAACGGGTCCACGAAGGGCAGCGAGATCCAGATTCTTTAATAATATGTGAGAGAGTCCTAAGCGTGAGCGCGACTCTTGGGTGCCTGAGTGTCGGGAGCGCGGCGCTTGAGTAAATTGCGGGAAATTCCAACGCGAGGGTGCTATTCTTAAACCGGTTGCGAGCAAGTCTCCAGCGAGACGGGGACTCCAGAGCGCCGAGAGAACGATTCCTGAATAAATTGCAAGGACGTCCCAAGCAAGAGCGCGATTCCTGAATAGAGCGAAAGGAAGTCTCAGGCGGGAGCGGAGGTCCGAGCTAAATCGTGAGAAAGTTTCAAGCGGGAGCCGTTGTTGTTATGACCCGGGGGCCAACAACGCAGTTTGAGGATGAAGATTTTCCCTTATAGAGAACAGGAACACTCCTTGTTAGACTGTTCACTCATCTGCTCGCTTGCCATTCAACACACATATCCCAGACCCTCGGTACACGCCCTCTTCGCCTTCGATCGTGCCCCCTTGGGGGTAACTCTTCCTTACCTGCCACGTGGATTAGTGCAGCCCCTAAAAACAAGGGAAAAAAGGGACGGGTGGAAAGGGGCGGGAGAAGGATGGCGCACGAGCAGGAGGGGGATTCGGAGCAGAATGCACGTGGCAGAACCAGACGCGGACAGATCGGGCGGGCAGACCCTGGCGGGCGGGTGAGGAAAACGGGCCCATGCGGGCAGGTCGAGCAGGCGGGTTGCTGAAGCCGTGAGTCCTGCATGAATCGCGAAGACGTCTCGGGCGATAGCGCGATTACCAAGTAAACCACCTGGAAAGCCAAAGCGAGAGTCTGAGTCCTGAGTGTCGAGGGCTCGGAGTCTGAATGAAGTGTGAAGAAACCCTACGCGAGACAGGATTCCTGCGTAAATCCCTCCAGCCTTTTGGGCGTCGGTGGTTTCGGAAGTGTCCTCTTCCAACCCCCTTCTTCCCCTTCGGGGAAGGGTTGAGCCCTCACGTGGACCTGGACGGGGCGCCCCGCGAGGTTTCAGAGGGTAGTGTTTCGCCCAAGATGGCTCCAAGAGGGCCTCAGAGAGCCAAAGATGACCTCAAAGATGGCTCCAGATAACCCAAGATGCCTCCGAGACCTCCAAGGAGGCCCCCAAGAAGCCATCATCCTTGAAACACCGAGGGACAAGCCATGCTGTGTGCTTTCTCGCCTTTTCGCTTCCGATGGTCATTCAAGGCCTCAAGATGGCTCCTAGATGACCACAGAGGGCCCCAGGAGAGACCCAAGAGAGCCCCAATACGGCCCCAAGAGCGCCCAAGAGCGCCCCAAGAGCGCCCCAAGAGGCGACTTTTGGGGCTCACAGGAGAGGGAGGGGGGGAGGCGAATTAGGGGCCCCCTCTTCTTTGATCGATCTCCTCCAAAATGGCCCCAATAGCGCCCGTGAAGCTCCCAAGAGCGCCCCAAGAGGGCCCCAAGTCGCGCTCAGACGTCCCCAAGAGGCGTCCAGGAAGCTTCCAAGAAGCTCCCAAGAGACCCCAGACCCCCAAGAGGCCTCAAGAGGATGCCCGAGGCACCCAAGACGCTCACAGACGGCCCAGTTCTCGCCAAGATGCGCCTTCTCCTCGTCCTCCTTGTCCTCGTCCACTGTCTCTTCCTCCTTCTTCCTCTTCGTCATCCTCCTCCTCTTCTCCGCCTCCTCCTCCTTCTCCTCCACAATCCTCCCCTTGTTGGGGTATCGGAGGGCTTCCCCCGCCCTTTGTTCGTCTGCATGCGTCCCCACTTCCCTAATCACCTCAACTCCACTGGGCATCGTTTCTGGATGGGCTGGTAGGGATACGCGAAACGTCAACAATTGTGAGCAAGTCTCGCGCGAGAGCGCGATTTTTGAAATTCGTGCTGAGGGGCCGGGGCCCCAGGTTGAGAACGAAGACTTCACCCGCTAAAAGACAGGGTGCGAGCTCCAATGGGGGGCACTTCAATGGAAAAAAACACAAAGTGCACAGGTGGGGGGGATCTACAACAACTCTTGCTCAAGAGTGAGAACTCAACAGAGCAAATAATCGCCGGGGGCTCCAGATCCGCCCCGGCGCCATCCTCGCGAGCCTCCTCGAGCGACGCGTGTACCTGAGCAGCTCCAGCCTACACGGCTTCAGCAGGGGGTCCGGTGGGCGAGGAGGGGGCCTTTCAGTGGCCGCGCGACGTCGCCCGCTGTGCGCGGGCGGTGCCCACCGTGCCCGCGCCCAGCCCCTGCAGTGCCAGTCACGCTCGTGGCTCTGCGCTGCGGCTCCAGCCTCAGCTCTGACCGCTTCTCCTGGCTTGGCAATGGTGCCGCCAGCTGCAGATGCTGCTCGGAGCGGGCATCCCGCCACGGCGCCGGCCACGCTCACGGCTCAGATTTGTACGTACTCCTGTCGTGGCGTTGGCGACGCTCCCAGCCGTTGGAGTACCATGTGGGACCTGCTCTGGAACAGGAACATACAGTATACGGATATACCCTTTCTCCGACCTTGCACTGCGTCGAACATAACAGCCTCATTGTCTATAGACACCTGCATCCCGAATATGGGTGTATACGTAACGTAACCCAATCTGCCCATCGACACCTTGTGGCTAGAAAGTGAGAACGGTATTTGGCATAAGCCCAAGATGGTCTTCTAGAAGCAGGCAGACTTTGCCTTCCAGCCCAGCTCGGAATGGTGGTCTCGCCTCGGCGTTGGCCCGGTGGCCAACTCGTGATGTCGCCTTCGTGCCGCTGGCCAACTTGCCCGCGCAGAGATAGTGACCGCGGACGTCTGCAACGAATGCACAACAGAAAGTCCACTGCAGGGAAGAGCCTTCTGGGCGACCCCGAGACCCATTCGTAACCTTTTTGAGCGCACGCGAGGCGCCATCCTGCACTTGAGACATCCCGACCAGAGGCGCCCTGGGCATGCGTCTCGAGTGCACAATGGGCACGTTGGAACGTCTTGGCGCTCAAGAAATGCCTCATGGAGCCGCAAAGGTCGCCAGATGGAAGCCTCAGTGCGGACTCGGCAGCAATTCATGCGTCGTCTTGGCGCCCTCCTGGGCCGTCTCGGGCCGTCATCACAGGCCCTGTTAGGCCATGTGTAACCTCTTACGCACGTTTAGGGGAAGGGCCTCGAGAAGTCAGGTGCCTGAAGGGGATGCCCAACAAATACCCCAACATGGACCAGTACGAGATCACTGCCCCAGGCCGGCGCATGCCGAACACTGGGTCGAAGTCCTATTCGTACTTACCCACCTCTTCAAGACCCTTCCCCTGCCACATGCTTGTCTGTGTGAGTGGATTACTGAGTCCGCCAACTCTTATTCACGAGACACCCGATGACGCAAAGGCACGTTCGATACTCCCCCAGTCCTCCACTCGATATGTTCACACACACACACACATCCCTAGGCGATGCTCTGGCAAGCTCGTCGGGCATCGCCCAGCCGCGGGCTAACAGAGATGGCAACACAAGCAGCACAACAGAACAAGAAAACCAGGGCGATCGCATGCTGATGCTCCATGCAGCGGGGTCCGTTCGTGACGACTGCGGCGAGGATAGTCACGGCAAAGAACAGCCCGACCCCAGGGCTCGAAGCCCGCCGCGCAAAACCGACATCCCCCCACAACAATAAGCCCGAGGCCCCGCCACCGATCATGGTGTTGAGGAGGTTGAAGATTGTGCCGCGCAGGGTGCTCCCCTGCAGGCAGGAGCTCGGAAGCAGCAGAGGCGAGACGCGAAAGCTCCGACCGAGAACGCTCCTCGACTGCTGGGTTCAAAATCCAAGCCCAATGTCCCAGAACTTAAGCCCCATGTCAACGCTGGCGCGGACATCCACGCCCCCTCGGGGCATCCGCTGACCAGGGCCAGCACCGACACGGGCCAGCCAGAGCCGCCCCGCGAACCTCAGCCCGCCGCAGTGTAGCTCCCAAGCCCATCTCAGCGGAGGGAAGGGAGGGGTCGGGGGGGTCGAAAGGGTAGGGTAGAGGTAGGGTAGGGGTAGGGTAGAGAGCCAGCTCACACAGCTGGTGTTCCTGGCGCCTCCTGGCGCAAGGAGGCTCGAGGCGCCCGTGCATCGAGGAGGCCCAGCGGCGGGGCCAAAAGCAGCCGCGCGCAGCAGATTCGTGACCCACCCTTTCCCTATCCTACCCCTTCGTCCCGCCCGAAAGGGAGCGTCCTGCTTCCACTTCGGATAGGGGTTGATCACAGTTCTTAGTGAACACCCCCTGCCCCACTCGACCGGCGACTAAACAGGGTCTATGCCCCCCCATCGACCATCCCTTTAGAGTTATGTTGCTCCCATTGTACTTAAAGACCACGTCCCAGAAATAAGTTCGAGCACCCGGAAAAGTGTCGAAACAGTGTCGGACGAGTTCCCCAGGGCCCGACACATGAAAACCCTCGAAGATCGGTACTGCTTTGGTGCTCGAACTTCTTTCTGGTGAACAAAGCGACAGTAGGTTTGAACATCCTAACTTTCGAACACTTTGCGAGAAAACCAGACTCTGCTCTGGCTCCCCGAGATCACTGTACTGTATGTTGGCAGGGACGGCTGGGGGGGGTCCATACTGCCCCACGTGCGCAGGCCCCCACCGTCCTTTCCAACAATAGATTCACAAAGGCATGGTGCGGCAACAAGCTGGACCGTGCGAGGAAATCCCGCGATGATATTCATGTGGTTATTTGACAGGGATGGTGAGAGTGCCAAGAGGGGGGCGTCCAAGAGGGGGGGGCGCAAATCATGGCCGGCGGCATGTGCGCGGCCCAAGGGGGGGGGGCCCGGGATGCAATGAAAGAAGAAGAGGCACCATGAAGTCTGATGAGATATCATGGCCCCAGCCATGATATCCACACACCCCTAGTCATCACCCTCCTCTTTGCCGCCCCCGAAAGGATGGTGGGGGTGCCAGCGTACTGTGTGGCGTGCGCGTGCGGGCCCAAGCACCCGTCAACAACACATGCAACATGTCTGTGGGAGCGCGTGCCGCCACTTCGCACTGCTCTTTGACAAGGATGGTGCGGGATCAACACTCCACCTGCTGCGTGCTGCCACGAGTGCCTGCGCATCTGGCACACTCTGCGCGCGCCGCGCACGTGGCGCACCTGGCGCGGGCGGAGCACGTGCGCGCCTGGCGCGAATGTGGAGGAGGGGGCACGCGGAGCACCAGGCCTGGCTGGCACGCTTGGGCCCCTAGGGCGCCTGGCGCACCTGGTGCGAGAGGCGCACCTGGCACGCGCGGCTCACTTCACGGACGTCACGCAGCTGGCGTCTTTTTGGGTTACTGATTCGTGGCTGTCCGTTGAATGGCGACCCTTGCCTATGCTGAGACTCGAAAGCTACTTACGAGCGGAATGTGGGTGGGAGAGAAGATCCCCTCCACCACCCGACTGGCGACATAACCGGGATAATGCCAGCACCCCGCGTCATCCCTTGCAACCGTGCGCCAACATCTGGATTATGCGCGGACGCCCCGCGATTACTTTGCATTGGTCTCTACACGGGCGGCGGGGGTGTACGCATATTGCCGCGGGTTGTGTTCAATGCCACAAGCACCCCACAACCCCCTTGGAAGAAACCATACGATATGCATTTTTAACCAAAATCTGGATCATGCGCGGGGGGGGTCGGGGATCTTCTGACCCGGGTCAATCCAGACCCGGGTCAGCGGGAAACCAAAAACTGCAATGCAGGAAAAAAACTGCAACGCAGATCCTCGCAAACCCGGGTCAGCCAAGATGCGCGGCCGCCTCGCGGCCACGAGCGGAGCGCTAACCCGGGTCATCTGGAGGGGGTCTTCGCAGGATCCTGCAGAATCTGTTGCCCTGGCTGACCCCGTTTGCATTAACCCCCGTCTCAAGGCTCCCGAGACGAGCGTCATACTGCCTGCCGTGCAGGCCCACTACAACTTTCAAAAACAATGCACAATTAAGTTTGCCAGGGACGGCACGGGGGGCAGGCAAATTGCTTGCTGCACGCTGGCCCACCATCCCTTGTAACCAAAAAACAATGAAACATGGAAGTTGCACCAACATCTAAACCATGGTTTTGGTTACAAGGACGGAAGGGGTGGTGCCATCGTATTGCCGGCTGTGTGCAGGCCCTGCATCGCTCTCACTATCTGCCTACCAATGCTACTATTCATTTATCGGGGCAACGATCGGGACATTCATCCCAGCGCCGTAGGAACGGCTCCGCCGTGTTCTCAGGCGTCCGATTGTTGGACTCTGTCGTGTTGTTGCGCATCCTACTGCTGGAACCTGTCGTGCTACTGGTTTTGCAATGGTGGCACACACAATCGAGACAACAATCGGTTCCTGGTCATGATCAGCATGATGATAATGACGATGAATCTGATGATGATGATGCTGATGATGATAATGATGATGATGATGATGATGATGATGATGATGATGGGCATGACGATAATAATGATGGTGGCGTTGATAATTGATGGTAAATGTGATGACGGTTGTGATAATGATGATGATGCTGATGACGATGATGACAAACATGGTGAGTATGGTGATGGCGCGAGTGGTGATTGTGATGATGCCGATGTTGTTGATGATGATGGTGATGATGGTGATGCTAATGATGAGGTTAACTGTGATGGTGAGTGTGATTCAGAGTATAGTGATGATGCTGATGATGATGATGATGATGATGATGATGACGCTGTTGATGACGAGTATGATGGCGCTGTTGATGGCGCTGTTGATGACGCTGTTAATGCTCATGCCGATCATGGTTATGATGATGATGGTGATGCTGCTGTTGATCATGATACTGCTGTTGTCGCTGATGATGTTGCTGCTGCTGAAGATAATGATGATGACGATGCTGATGATGACGACGATGATGATGATGCGTGGGCGCGCAGTGCCAATGATCACACGCTCTGTCGATCGGTGCTGGTGCTTTGCGCTCCCTGGGGGAGCCGCCTCTCTCAGTGAACGCTGGGCACTGCGCTTGCAGGGGAATGCCACCTCACGAGCAGCTCGGGATTGGGGCCCTTCGTTCGGGTGCTGCCTATGTGTTGCGAGGGCGGGGGGGAGTGAGCGAGACGACAGTCCTTGGGGGGTAGCTTGACCACTATGCGGTACCGCAGTGGAGGCCCGACCACAAGAGGCCTTCCACCAGAAACCCGACCCTGAGACCCGCGGGCGTCCCCTGATTTTTGGTGTGGGAACGTCGCGCGTTCCACCGCAGGACCATCGACACCCAAGAAGCCCAGGGCACCCTGGAGGCGAGCAGGGTGTTTCTCGGCATGGGCCTTCAATGCAACATGAGAAGCGATAGTGGGACTGGAACGCAACATGAGAAGAGATAGGAGGAGGAGGAGGAGGAGGAGGAGGAAGAGGAGGAGGAAGAGGAGGAGGAGGAGGAAGGAGGGAGGAGGAGGGAGGAGGAGGCGGAGGGAGGCGGAGGAGGAGGAGGAGGAGGAGGAGGAGGAGGAGGAGGGAGGAGGAGGAGGAGGAGGAGGAGGAGGAGGAGGGAGGAGGAGGAGAGCGCTCAGGCGGCGTGCTCGATCTGTCCAGGATCGCGCCCCCTGGCAAAACAAAACCAGCAGTGGACATTGCGGCAACATCTGGATCATGCGCGGGCGCACCGCGATCACTTTGCATTTTTTGTTTGACAGGGGCACCCGGGGTACCCTCGTAAAGCCTTCTCGTGAACTCGGCGGCATTGGACTCCCAGGCTCGAATGCTGCCTTGGTGCTGGGAGGGCGTGTGGGAGTGAGCGGCACGGCTTGCGGCCAGGGGGTAGCCTGATCCATGTTCCTCGTTCATCCGCCACCGTGACTGCACGAAGTGGGCGTGTTAGAATGCTTGTCTGTTGTCTGGGAGGTTTTCCAAAGTTTTCATGGGACCCCCCCTCGCCACGCGCGCCCCTCAAAAACAACCCCTTTTCTGAAACTGCGTTCTGGCTGTCCTTCGGCCTCCGGACGGCCAAGAAGACGGCTTCCACGACAACCAAGACGACACCATAACGGCTCAACATTAGCCAAGACAGCTCAAGAGCCTCCCAAGAGAGCCTCAAGACGGCTCCAGATGCCTTCCTGGAGAGCCTGAGGAGGCCAAAACCTTTGATGATCACCAGGTTGTTGAAATAAGTTGACGTTCTCGCCTGATCGGGATCCCGCCCACCAAAGACGGCCCAAGAAGCTTCCAAGAGGCCTCCAAGATAGTTCCAAGACAGCCCAAGAGGCCCCCAAGAGGGCGGCAAGTCGGCCCAATGGAACCCCAGAATCTCCCAAGGGGCAACCGAAGATGGCCCCAAGACGGCCATGAAGCGCTCCAAGAGAGCAACAAGACGGCCGAGAGAGGCCTCTTGTGATGTCCTGGCGGTCGAACATCGAAACATGCCAGAACCTCACAATCCTTTAAACACCTAAGGGAGGCATGACTTTTGTCCCCAGCGATTCGTCGTCCATAGTCCCCTAATTCTGCTATGGTCACATGAATCCTGTACGTCAGCCGGTTTCTGCTCCTCAGTCGTCGTGGTGGTTGTGGGACACTGACAAGGTTTGCAACGCCCTTTCTTAACAATACCTTCCGCGGCCTGTATCCTATTGTCGGCACAATCTCCTCCCCACAGGCCCTTAACCTTCTTCGTCTTCGTCTCACACCTGCCACACGTTCCGCATAGTAGCGAGGCGATGAATCTATGGGAACGAAGAATGGCATAAACATAAAGAC